CCAAAAGGTAGCTTAACATGCTACATCACCCCAAAGGGTAGCTTAACGTGCTACATCACAGCACTAACTTCAAGTTATTATTTCTTAAGCATGAATATCTAGGAGTAGGTCTGTTAGATCACATGCCAAATGTACAGATCATTTTCTAAGAAACTGCCAAAATGACTTCCCAAGTCACTGCGTCAGTTTGTATTCCCACCTGTACTGTGTGAGCTCTCATTGCTTCATGATGGCAGTGTTTCCAATTCTCAGTATTCTGATAGGCTTAAGTGTGTTTTCATCATGGTTTTAATTTGTGATTCCTTAATGGCTGGTGATGTTGAACATCTGTGCATGTGCGTATTAGCCATTTTTAGTCTATTTGATGAAGTTCATATCCACTTTAAAATTTTTTATGGCTAAGTTTTGAATGTTCATTATGTATTCTGGATATACATTTCTTTGTATGTTCTTTCTCTTATATTTTATTCCCTTAACAGATGTTTGGTACATGAGAAATGCTTAATTTTGCTTAAATTCAGTTTGTGAATGCCTTTTCTTGTATGGATCATGTTTCACTTACCATATATATGAATCCATCTCCAAACCCAAGGATACAGACATGTTTCCCCTATTTTTGTCCATACTTTTATATTTACTGCTGTGATAATTTTGAATGCAGTTTTTGTATGAAGTTATATTTCATGGCTCATTTATTCACATAAATTGTTTGTGTCCACTTACTCCAACACTGTTAAAAAGATTGTACTTCCTTCATTGGATTCTGTCTGGAGCACTGGCGAGGCTCATTTGTTTCCCTTGTGGCTGTGTGTTTCTGGACACTTCTTGTGGTCCCATTGATCTGTATGTTCTCTCCCACACTTGCCTTCATTATTTTACCTTTATGGTATGTCCTAAAAACAAGTAGAATGATGCCTCTAATTTAATTTGTTTTAAATTGTTGCAGCTATTCTAATATCTTTTCTTTTTTTTTTTAATTCTAATTTCTTTGTATTTCCACGTAAAATTTACATTCAGCTTGTTCTCTGTAGATGTTGCTTGGAATGGTTTGATGTGGTTATGACTATTTTGAGATTTAGCCCGTTGTGGATTTAGTCAGCTTTCAGAATCTATGGGTTGGTTAAGTTTGTAGCAATTATTTCCTCAAAATTTAGTTCATACTATTATTTGCCACAGTAGTAGTAGCCTAGGGAGAGAAAGCTCTGCTGGTCTACTCTGCATATGGCTGGGACAGGTCTCCCACACAGATGGCAAGTACCAAATGAATTGAGCATCACTGCCACCTTCCCGGATCTGCTGGGGTCAAGGGCCTTCAAATCTGGCAATGAAGTTTGGGACCAGGACAAACACTCCTTCCTAGTGTATTTTGAGTCGGTGAATACTTCATTCTATCTTCTGGAACTGTCATATAAATGTAAGACTTTTTGTTGTCCCACACTTTCATGAGCTCTGTTCGTTGCTGTTTTGAATGTATTTTTTCAATCACCGAGGGTGCATAATTTTTACTGATTTACCTTTGAAACTCACTGTCTCATTCTTTTCTCCATTTTGTTGCTGAGTGCAACCTATAAGTTTATAATTTTGGTTAACATTTTTTCCTAAGGTTGCATTTAGGTCCTTTTTATTTATGCTAATTCCTGTTTTAACGTTTGTTGTCTTATTTATGAGTGCTCTGTCTAAACATTTCTATAGAACAGCTTTAAGATCTTTGTTAGATAATTCTAACATTGCTAGCATTTTCATCTTGACTTTTTTTTTTTTAGCAGATTTGAATTTTTGTGGTATTCTGTGAAGTATTTTGGATTGTAGCTTGGACATTTTAAATTTTATGTTATGGAATTTTGGGTCATGAGGAGATTTTATGCAAAATGTTAGTCTTTTTATTTTAGGAGGCAACCAACCTAGATAAATGCAGGATACAATTATATATCTGCTTTCTGTGGCCTCTGCTTCCAGTGTCAGTTCAGTTTTCAAAGAGTGCGGCTCTTTTTGGATCAGTGTCAGATTTGTGACACGGTCTGATTTGAGGAGGTTGTGTTGGACAGTTTGGTCCTCTAGGCCATTTGTAATCATCACCGATGGTGCTCCTTGAGCTTCATAATCAGTGTGCAGATGCTTTCCTAGGATCCTGTGTCTCCATGATTCCCCTCTACCCCCTCTCCCTGGGTTCCCCCTTCCGGTCCTCCGATCCTGTTCTGTATGTTATACCTTTATGATGGGGCTTGCATCCTGAGCCACGTGAAGGAATGGCACACAAGGGTTTTGCTCTCCCCCTTTGAAACCAAAGCTCTCCCAAACAGAAAAACAAGCCTCTATCCAATCCCGAAGTTGTTGTTGCCTTGGATCAGCAGAGCTGCTCACCATTGCCACCTCAGGACTCCTGGGGCCAAAGCTTGGCCTCACTTAGCTTACTTACAAATGCAGTAAGTAATGCTTACTTACAAATGCAGTTCTTCATTTATTTACTTTTTTGTTTGTTTGTTTTTTTTTTAAAGATTCGTTTGAATGGCAGAATGACAGAGAGAGGACAGATGCATAAGCAAGGGAACTGGACTGGAAGGGTCATGGAGTGGGTTTTGGGAATAATATTTCTTTCTAGGCTCTTGCCTGTTACTTAAAAAGCATTTGAGGGGCCTGGTGCGATAGCATAGCAGCTAAAATCCTCTCCTTGAACACACCTGGATCCCATATGGGCACCGGTTCTAATCCCAGCAGCCCCACTTCCCATCCAGCTCCCTGCCTGTGGCCTGGGAAAGCAGTTGAGGATGGCCCACTGTCTTGGGAACCCTGCACCCACGTGGAAGACTTGGAGGAAGTTCTTGGCTCCTGGCTTCAGATTGGCTCAGCTCCAGCCGTCCCAGCCATTTGGGGAGTGAACCATCGGACGGAAGACATTCCTCTCTGCCTTTCCTCCTCTCTGTATATCTGCCTTTCCAATAAAAATAAATAAATCTTAAAAAGAATACATGAATGAACCGGACCCAACTGAAGTGCTTTAAAAAAAAAAACTGAAAATTGCTATCATTCTATTTGTATCTTGAATCTATTTGTTCCTTATAGGTTTGTTGTTTCTCTAGGTTAATGAAGTTTGCTTATGGCCATAGCATGAGTAATGAACTGAATTAGGAAGGAAAGAAAAACATTTTGAGTTTCCAATGTTGTTCTGAGAAATTTATATTTGTTAAACCTCGGGAGCCACTCATCCCTAAGCAGGAAATCTGAAGTGGAAACTTCAGAGTGGAAAAGTTAATTTTCTCTTTCAGTGTAGCCTGGGCTGCCACCTTGGGAGTGGGGATAAAGCAGGATTGGTGGGTAAGCCTGTGAGCCAACAAGAGGGGCTGCTCTCAGGGCTTGGTTAGGCCACTGTAGACACAGCTAGAGGCCGACTTTAGACAACAAAGGAAAGGCAGGGAGCCCTTGGCAGGTGCAGTCAATCCAGCAAATCAAAGGGCAGCACACAGAACGGTCAGCACAAGGGAACCAGGAAGCTAGGACAAGGCACAGATTTTCAAAGGCTGGGCAAGAGTCAGATTCAGCAAAAATTGGTTTACTTTTTGCCCAAACCAGATAATTTCTTGGGTATGGAAGAGTGGGGGAGGGATAGGAGGCTGCAATGGAGGAAGCTAGAGATGAGCACAGGATAGAAAGCATAGGCAGAGTAGTCATCAGTGACATCCTGGATTGGAGAAGTGCAGACATAAAAGGTCAGTCTAAAACATTTCAATGCAAAAGAGTAGGAGGCCTTGGCGATCGGAGATTCAGAAAATGGGGGTGGCAGAGGCAGAGGTTATGGTTTCTAAAAACTCTGTAAGGAATTCTGACAGAAATTGGTAGTTAAGAATTTTTTTAAAAAGATTTATTTTATTGTCATTACAAAGTCAGATATACAGAGAGGAGGATTTTCTGTCCGATGATTCACTCCCCAAGTGACCACAACGGCCGGTGCTGTGCCGCCAATCTGAAGCCAGAAGCCAGGAACTTCTTCCAGGTCTCCCACGCGGGTGCAGGGTCCCAAGGCTTTGGCCTGTCCTCAACTGCTTTCCCAGGGACAGGGAGCTGGATGGGAAGTGGAGCTGCCGGGATTAGAACTGGCACCCATATGGGCTCCAGGCGCTCAAGCCAAGGATCTTAGCCGCTAGGCCACGGCGCTAGGCCTAGTAGTTAAGAAATTTAAATGGGAAAGATAAATTTAGTTTCTGTTGAATTTGAGATGTTGGTTGTTTAGCAATGGAAGTGACTAGAAATAAAACCACTCACTGAGGGTCTTAAAAAAAACTTACACAAAATAGGAAAGCTGGAAGCTGTGTTATTCGGAAGTATGGGGAAGGGAAGAAAGCAGGATGCGCATGTTGCCCACAGGAGGCCTTTGATAACAGACACCTGCAGGCAGAGCCCTCTGAGTGGCAGATTCATAGCAAAGGTGAGCTGCTGGGGTAAGGAACTTTGGCAAGATGGGGGTCATGGGAGTCTGGGGATTTGTGAGAAGTTATTTTTGAACATTTAACCTTTTTTTTGTTTTTTTTCTTTTAAAATTTTCACTTTACCCGAAAGGCACAGAGACAGAAAACTTTCATTCACTGAAAAGATACATCAGCCAGTGCAAGATCAGGCTGAATCCAGGAGCCGAAAATTCCATTCGTGTCTCCCAGGTAGGAGGTAGGAATTTAAGTAGCAGGGTACAGGTTAGCAGGAAGCTGGATCCAAAGTGGGCAAGTTGTGACATGACCAGACACCACTAAATGTTGCAACCAGTCATTTTAAGCACCGTGTGAAGGGCCCTCCCCCAAATGTTATAAAATGGAAATTCTGATTGGATACAGGACAACGGAAGTTCATGTCAGGTATTTTTTGGGTCTTCATCTCTTTTGATATCACCCACAGAGAGACTTCTCAGAATTATTCTTTTTCATTGCTGAAGTCTTCTAGAATCTACCTGAATAACAGTTCAGTTCACAGTGTTCCTTTCAGCCCATCAAACCGATAGACACAATTCAGGTAAAGATTTTTAAACAGAAATTTTATTGAAAGAATTTTGACACAATTGTTTGATGCTTTTTAAATACATCTGAGGTTGAATAAAACGTGAATGTGTTCAAGTAGAAAAAGGTGAAGTATACATAATAGTTTTGTTGTATTGCACTTAGGCAAATCATAATTGCTTGCTTTAACATATGTAAACCAAATTACAATACAGTCTTCGAAATCTGACATTCCAATTTAGCCTTGCACTCAAACATTTTTAGAAATGTTTTGATGCCTTAATCTTCACCAGAGGGATTAAACCCAAATACAATCTTGGCCATATGTTTAAAAACCATTAAAGGCAGGGAGGTAACATGTTTTAGGAGTGTTTAGGATATACCAGAAAGGGGATTTGGCAACTTATCTTTCACAGTATTTCCAATATAAAAAAACACATTTTATTCATTTATCAGCACACAAAAAATTGGCAGGGAAATATCATTTGGGAAAAATATATCACCGAGTTTGTGGCTAACAGGGGAAACAATGAAATTATGGGGCAGACTACTGACAGGAGACAACTAGTTCAAGATGGACTCTTCAGTGAGTAATGTACAATCTAGGAGGGATCACAAGCAAATAATAAAATCTAAAACATATATTTTTTAATGGTAAAAGATTTGTAGTGAAAGCAATAATGAAAATAAAAATACAAAGAAGCTGCTACAATTTATTATATAGAATGGAAAAGAAAAAATGGCAGACATTGCAGGAATATTTAAATCACGCAGTGAACTCATGTTTTACTATTTTTATAGAAGCACCTTCAAGAAGTTACCTCTGAAAGAGTTTCTAGAAACACATTAGGGACAAATGATATTGAAGACATATATAGGCCCTTAAAATAATGGAAATATGGCAATTTTATGTAAGAAGCAAGTAGATGACATAGTTCCCGATTTGGCTCTTCAGACAGATATAAAAATTCAAGTGACCCAGGTTCTGCTGCTCCAGTTCTGCCAATTCCTGTCCAGCATATGAAAAAAGGCTTAGCATCTTTAAATTTCCACTGTTTGTATAGTAAAAATTAGAAGCAGCTCATGGGGCTACTTGGGGAAAAAAAAAAACAGGAAAAATAAAAATAAGCTCACATGCTTATGCAGAATTGCCCAAATAAATGCTGAGAGGCCCTCCATAATAAAGTTACACATTTGACCTGCCCCTAGCCCTTCACTTTCGTATCTACCACTGTCTACAGTATTTACTCAGGAGCTAATCAACATTTGTTGAGTATGTAAGTGTACTTTCATGCTAACTTGGGGAGAGATGGGATGCACAAGGCAAAAGTCTTTCAGAAATTTTCTACATCATGACCAAAATTACAAACAATAAAATTTCAAAGCTGTGGCAGGAGTTCAAAGTTAAATAACAATTTTAAACAAAACTTTTACTGTCTATAAAACTGAGTTCCTTCTTTTTGAAAATGTATGTATGACATGTGATTTTCAATCCTCACAGCTAATAACCCTCTCCTTGGCAAACTGTTTCCTAATAACCTGAGGTAGGGTCTCCCATGTATAAGGTCAACTTCTCTGCTCATATTGGTGTGGCGGGAACTACCTTCTGTGTCAGTTCCTTAAGCAGCTGCCTCTTTTGACTGTCAAATAAAAGCTTCTAATGCTTTTGTTTTTTTAGTGACCTTAATAAAAGCTCTTGACAGAGTTTTGAAGGTTATTTTACTCAGTAGTTTTAGATCAATGCAAAGGCCAGGAAATAAGTGTAGGAAAATATTGAAAGAGGAAATCCTAAACAAGGAATATTAAGTGTTCTCCCATATAAATTTTGTTAAAATCAGTGTCCACTGGTTTTTAGCTGTCTATTTAGATTTGTTTCAATCCATGCAAATTTTCTAGAAACAGCCTCATCATCTGTAAAATGAGGATTAGAATTCCTTTGCTACAAGGATATTAAAAAAATTTGAACTAAAGGTATATTTGCAAATGTTTTGTCAATCATAATTAAGTCATATAAAATTATTTCTGTGAAGAAAAGTGACACATACATGCAATAACATGAAAAGGGCCCTAAGAAGTCACTGGAACATAAACATAGAAAAAGGTTATTCCTGACTCTTGTTTTCTGTATAATTTACAGATGGGAAGTAGTTAAATATAAACCAAAGACACCCTCATCAAAACAGACTTGTATCCATTTGACTTTTGAAAATTATATTTCTCTGTTCCTTTTCTGCAGATACTTTTGAATACATAATTTTTCACTGAATCTCCTTCTTGATTCTGTGATTAAGATCTCAGTCACTACAGTTTCCAGGGGATCATGTCTTGAAATAATCTTCTAATCAAGCTTTTATTAAATGTTCCTCAAAGGATGAAATAGTTTTTGTAAAATCAAGTTCTTGTGAATTGAAAAATAATATTTTTCAAAGATAGTGAGTTTTTATAAAATAGAAAACAGAAATTTAACTTTCCCAAGACAATGCTTTCATGATGACTTGAAAGTAGTCAGTTGGCATATATAATCCTGATAAGACTTCAGAATTTTATCCCACTGAATTAAAAGGTTCATTCTATACAATTTTTAATGTGCAATTCTGCATGACTCAAAAATTTTAAAATGTAAAAAGTTGTTGTGAATAAAAAGCAAAGTGGAAAAATTGAAATGATAGGACCAGTGAATCAACCTAGTTTTTTAAAATATACAAGATTAACATCGAATAAATGAAATCTACAAACTAAGCAACACTTAATTTGTACTAAGCCTTGGGCATTTTAAAGAGAAGCCTACTCACAAGTTAGAGGTGTCCATTTTAGAAATGCCATGATTTTTAGAGTTAGGACAAGTTTCACACAAGTGAAAAACAGAAAAACTAATCATAACATGTTCCATAAAGAATATTATGGAAATAATATTTTAAATCTCTTAATTACATATAAAGAGAATAAAACTCCATTTATAAAGTGCCTTAATGTATCAAAAATGGAGGTCAGATATCCCTTTTTACAAATGATATTTGATCATGTAATATATATAGAAAGGCAGATTCTATACTGAAAAGATAGCACAATCTACAATAAAGAACTTGGAGTCCAAAGGTCTGAATTCTAGTTCTGACTTTGCAACTAATTATCTGTGGTCTTAAATGAATGGGCGCCCCTCAGGCCTTCAATTTCCTCATAAGAAAAATCAGAGGTAGAGCTAGATTGCTTCTAAGGACGGTCCTTGCTTAGATGTAAAATTCTAGGTTAAGATATTCTCATTCTTTAATTCTAACATTACATAACAGGTGACACCATATGAAGAGTATGTGTAAAAACTGCTTATTTCATAGTAGATAAAAACATCACAGAACTCTGATCAATTTCATTTTCAACGAGTGATCTGGCTGCTTTACAAAAGTGCACAAGTCACAGTACTTTGGTTACTGATAATTATATGTAGACTTTAAAGGTTATGGAAACCTTCCAGGTCCAAGGGATCCCACGATGCGAGTGACATGTGGTAAGCCTTCTTTATCCTTCCAAAACACAAGAATGATATGAAAGCATGGTGGATCATGACCTACAGGTAAACTAGATACTGTCCTTGACAAAAAACGCAGAGGGTGTTAGCAAATTGAGACAGTTATGCAAATGCTAAACCCTTTATCTTGAACAATTTAATATGGATTTTTTAATGAAATTTGTTTAAGTATATTCCTCTTTGGTGCAGTTTAGCTGGCAAAGTAAAATTTCTCAGAGCAAGATTAAACTCAACATAAGGGTTATCTAAGTTTAAGAGCAATCAGGTACTTCTCAGTGAACTTTTCTACTTCAGTAAAACATCTGTGCCAATAACACTGATAAAATGAAGTATTTCCAGGAATAAAAACCTTTTTTTTTTCCCCCAATAAAATGTTCAGGGTCGTGCACATACTAACATTTAATTAAAGCAAGAATGTTAATGTCAACCTATGAAATAATTATAAGCTGTCAACTTCTTACAACCAGTACAAAGTGGTTTCATATGTGTCTAACATTCCTTATCAAAGAAAAAAAAACATGCCTTAATGCATTGAGAGAATAACCAGAGTATGCGTATTCATTTTGACAAAAACTTGGATTGGAGGGCTCAGTTAAAAGCACAATTAGATTTTCAAACTACACTGGTAAAACTGACAGACCAAAACCACTGCCTTTTCTAGATCTATCATTTCCTATAATATGCCAAACCAACAGAATATTCTAGTTTATAGGATGTGGTAGGTGAGGTTGCAAACTTCCAGAGAAAACACTACCATTCTTGAGACATTTCTTTCAGTGCTTTCCTTTCTAGACGATGTGAAAACAATTGTTTCAGACACATATAGCTGACTGCAGGAGTTCTTTGTTCTAGAAGTGCCATTAAGCAAACATGTTGTAGAAACTATTACTTTATCTGTCAATTTGACTATTGACAAAAAAAAAAAAGTCCTTGGCAATCTGAAGGTTCAGAGAAGCATGAAGGAAATGGTCTAACTTTACTAACGGTTCATAAGTTGTGAGCAAGAATAAAAGAAGGAATAACATTAAGACTGACAAGATCAACTGTAATTTCTGCCACGGCATTGAAAAAGTGCTTATTATTTGCTTAGACTACTAACAATCATTTCTGCCCTGCAGTGTTTTTTCTCCAATACTCTCAATTTTTTAAAGTTAAAAGTGAATATATGTTGTGATAAGAAGTACATGGGAAAAATGTTTATCCAGATCAATACATCTTTATAAAAACGCAGAATACTTAAGTAGTGTATTCAAGCATTTATCACCTCAAATTGTAATTTTATTTTTCAAATACATAAGAATCTAGGAAATAAACTTATTTATTATTCACCCCTTTGATACCTGCTTAGGAAGAGTTCTACATCACCACATTTGCTCCGTACCTTTAATAGTTCAAACACAATCAAATGCTGCTATAGGATTCTGGAAAGCAATTGGATTTGTGCAAAGCTTAAACAGGAAAACAAATCATGTAACTTGGCATGTGAGGAACGAAAAAGCAAAAGCACACTATCACAGCTACTCCTTATTTTAGTCTACATTGCTTTTTCCTTCCATGAATAAAATCCATAAAAATGGCAAGAAGAGATATAGGACCGTTTGCCAAAAGCACAGATTTAAAGAAATTTGGAATTTAGCAGCTGCTTTGTGTCAAAATAACTTTCTGTATAACAGATGTATTTGCAAAGTTTTGCATACATAGTCCACAAAGTAATTTAATGTGATAATAGTTTGTTTAAAAAGCAAAATAGAACCTTTTATTTTTTTGTTGAGATAAGACAAAAATGGAAACTTTCTTTATATATCTAAATCTATGTTGGAAGTACACAAAAAGATAATCTGTATACACTGCTAATAAGAGTCTTGTTTTGTACAGATTACACAATATCCATTAAAAAAAAATACATGGGACCTTTGATGGTACAATTCTATGCTGGCAAACATTTTCTGATACAAAGGCACTTTGAAAACCCAATATGGTTTGGTTCATAAGTTTGCGAGGAACAAACGATTTAACAAACATATGATTATACCAATGAATGTCAACAACTGTGACATTGCATATAAAACAATTTCTTTCTTTTTTTTTTGTTGTTTTTTAAACTAACACTGGTTTTGTGGAAATGAAAGCAGTGGTTTCCAGCAGCTTCTGTAAAGACGTTCCAGATGATTGGAAGCCCATTCTGAATTTCTTACTGACTGTGGTGAGGGAATAGGAATGAGGACATTCAACAAGAAACAAAAACAAAGCAATAAATGAAAAAAAGAAAGGAAGGAATTAAAAAACACACAAAATGAAAACCCAAAGAACTAAAAACACACAAACCAACACTCTGAAACACAATCAGGAATCTCAGAAATCAAAATGGTTTACAATGGAGGGGCACAAAAGACAAGACCAAAAGTCCAGGAAATATCCTCTCAGTTCTTATCCCTTAGCTGTGAACTCCCGGCAGGACCCGAACACCTGACACTACCTGGTCTGCTTGGTGCCCGGCAGCTGTAGTGATGTTTCCTCTATTGTTAAGAAGCTGGGTACAATGTTTTGGATTGTACAGTACCAGAATAATTTGGTCCGAAAGAAAAGTATAGCATAATTTCACTCATTACATGGCCGCAAAGTCAATCTGTACATAAAGCTGCCTCACTCCAGCCTGAAAAATTAAAAAGAAAAAAAATTAGAAAATCAAACAAGCCAATAATCATGTACACATATTACAAAAAAGTTGAGGAATTATACCCTCATTAATTATTAATTTTTATTTTCACTTTATTTGAAGAAATATTAGATCACTGGCTTACTACCCTAATGTCCTTAAAAGCTGGGCTCAGTCTGGGTTTCCCACATGGGCAGCCAGAACTCACTTGTGTCATCAGCTGTTGCTTCGCAGGGTGCACATTACCAGGGAGCTGGATCCAAGTGGAGAGGAGCAAAGCCTAACACTAGGCACTTCTGATACAAGGCTGCAGGTACATCCCAAGCAGAGTTTTTTCTTAAAGATTTATTTATTTATTGGAAAGGCAGAAATATAGAGAGAAGGAAAGGCAGAAAGGAAGATCTTCCATTGCTGGCTCACTTCACAAGTGGTCACAATGTCTTGAGCTAAGCTGATCTGGAGCCATGAGCCAGGAGCTTCCTCTGGGTCTCCCAAGTGGGTTCGGGGTCCCAAGGCTTTCGGTTAGCCTCTACTGCTTTCCCGGGCCACAAGCAGGGAACTGAATGGGAAGTGGAGCTGCTGGATCATGAAACTTTACCCATATGGGATCCTGACACATGCAAAGCAAGGACTTCAGCCATTAGGCTATTGTGCTGAGCTCCTGAGCTGTCATAGAACTTGTTCAAAAAAGATTCATTTAGTTGAAAGCCAAAAAAGAGGGAGGGGAGAAGGGAAGAGGAGGAAAAAGAGAAGGAGAACAACAAGAAGAAGAAAAAGAAGGGATAGGAGAAAGTCAGAGAGAATGAATATGAATCTATATACTGGGTAACCTACCTCCCACGGCCCACCCCCGCCAATAGCCACAGCAGCCATATCTGGCTGAAACTAGAAGTCACTAACTTCATTCTGGTCTCCCAAATCTGAGGCAAGGACCCATGTATTATTGGGTTATCTTCTGCTGTTTTCTCAGACACACTAGCAGGAAGCTGTATTGGAAAAAGAGTGGCCAGAACGAAGTGGCAATGTGATATAGATGCTGGTGTTAACCTGCTGTACCACAATGCTAGCACTCCAACTCACTTTTTTCTTCTTAAGATTTATTTGTTTTCATTACAATGTTAGATATACAGAGAGGAGGAGAGACAGAGAGAAAGATCTTCTGTGCACTGATTCACTCCCCAAGTGGCTGCAATGGCTGGAACTGACCCGATCCAAAGACAGAAGCCAGAAGCTTCTTCTGGGTCTCCCACATGAGTGCAGGATCCCAAGCTTTGGGCCGTCTTCGACTGCTTTCCCAGGACACAAACAGGAAGCTGGTTGGGAAGCATGGTTGCTGGGACATAACCCGGCACCCATATGGGAACCTGGTTTGTGCAAGGTGAGGACTTCTGTCGCCCTGTGCCAGGCCCCCAGCTCAGTTTTTCTTTTTTTTTTAAAGAACTGTTTTTCTTCTTGATTCTGGGATATAATTCATTTTTTTTTAATCCTAAGTCAACAAAAACTACAAACATGTTCGTAAGTTGAAAAATTCTTCATTTACCGCATCACACAAAAGGCAGTCACCGCCTTTTCTCAGTGACAATAGAAAAGTGTGGTTTCCCACATACCATTACTACAAGAGAAAGTCTAGTTTTTGAGTTGTTTGGTGCTAATTAATATGTACAAATCAATTTAGTCTCCATCCTTCCATGATAAATAATTACAAACACTCCAATAAGAGTATATGTATTGGCCACTTAATTATTTTATACTCTAACTCCTCTCTTCAATTGTGGATATGAACTTGTTCCAGAGGAATACTGTTCTCTAAATTGTGCCCTATCTCCTCTATGTTTTCATTTTCTCCCTTTCAATTACCATGCAAACACAATGCAGTATTGTCTTTCTGTAAAAACAAACAAACAAACAAACAAAAAACTTCCCTTGGTCCACACTCCCTTCTAGCTATAGTCCCGATATCTGCTTTTTTGCCGAAAAAATCCTCAAAAGTGATTGTCTGCATTTACCATTTCAATGCGTATTCTCTTTTTCTTTTGAATTTACTTCCATCCAACTTACAGTTTCTCACCACATCCCCCAACTGTCAAGGTTACCTTCAAGTTGCTAGCACATTCTCTATGTTCCCTTTACTACTTAGCATCTTATCAATAATAAGGTTGATTATTCCCTTCTACTAAATATTTCCCCACCTGTTAGTTCTCATGGTTGCCCTTTTATCTCACTGGTCAATCTCACTCTCCTTGTCGGTTTTTCCTCCTGTCTTTGAACACTAAACACTGAAACACCCAAAGGCCCATCCTCCTGTCTTCCTACACTTTTTACTTATATGCTCTCATGTAGGATACATATTTCAAATTTCTATTTATAGTCTGGAATCTATCACATACTTCACATTTCTCCTCGGATATCTGATATCCACCACAACACAACCAAACTGAATTCCATCTGCCTCCTCTAAAAATGTTCCTCCTGTCGTCTCCTACTTATTCTGTCCTTAAAATTGCTCTTTTTTATAAACCCTCTCTCCTCTCATACCAAATATCTAATCCATGCATAAAACCTATTTGCCTTATTTCCAAAATCATACAAAAGCCAGAATATGACCATTTTGCATATCCACTGGCAGCCTGTCCTAGCCACTGTGATTTCTTGCCTAGATTTTCCAACAGCCTGCTTTGGTTTCCCTGCTTTTGCTTTTGCCTTGCACTGGTCTGTTCCAAAGAGAGCAGCTGGACTGGTGTGGCCCCTCAATGACCTCCCCTCGGTTTACTCTGCCATACTGGCCCTTCTGCCTGGGACATGTTCCTAAAGATAGACAGATGCCATATTCCTGCTCTGTATTCAGATGTTAGTGAGGCCTACCCTAAGCACATGGTTAAATGCATTCAGTGCATCTAATTCCAGACAGTTTTGTTCTATAGGCCTATGATAGCAAACAAAACAGATAAATCAAAGTTTCTTACCAATTTCTGTCCTGCACCATTTGTTTTTAACTGCCAACTCTCAGAACCACAAGGATAGCCAGCATACAATAAATGATCAATGAGCATTTGTTGAATGAGCTGCAATTCTACTAATTTCCTTCTTTCAATAAAAAATGATTGAAGGAAATTCACAACAAGGTCTTTCTTGGCAATACTTTAGAATAAAAGGTAGACTGTACTATTTAATAGGAAGGAGAAAACCGGATTGCAGGTAAAAAGTCTATAGCAGTACTTTCTTGCAGTTATTTGTGGGCTCCAAGAAGCACTGCTTCCTATCATGGCTTTATTCAGACACTCAGGTAGTAGGACTCGCACCTAGGAATGCTGACAGTCAGAAATACTAACAAAAACAAAAACAAAACAAGAGACCCTTGGAACTTGTATAGTCAGCTTTTCTGCCTCACTGAAAAACAAAAAACAAAGAGATATCCTACATTAGGCTAAGGCTGTTATCTAATTTACAGATAATGCATGTAATAGTATCTTCTTAGGTGAGCAGCAGGTGGCTGGAAAAGGGCAATAGTTTTATATAATCTTTAAGAGCAAATTAAAACCAAATGTGTTTTTCTCATTTTAAAACAGTCTTGATATAAATCAACCCTACCTATCTCACAGAACTGTTATTCATTCATGCAATAGTAACAAATGTTTAGGAAATCTTTAGAACATACATTACTATAAAGGATCATACATGAATACACGAGAAAAGATTTTATGTGTTATAAAGACTATCACAAATTGTTATGATTGTAAACACCTAGCTTAATTTATTCAACCCAGATCACTTTTGAAATAAATGTGCGGAGGCACGCTGTTACAGAACCTTAAGAGAAAACAGCTATTGACCCAATAGCCTTAAATTTTCTCTTTTAACAAAATTATTCATGAAAGTTAAATGGCAAAAAAAAAAAAAAAAAAAAAAAATCAGGCTCCTTTCATTGTTGGCCACTTTCCCTATCCTTATCTTTAACAATGTGAGGATGGTAATATGAATTGAAGTAGCCCAAGGCAATGAAAAAGAAAGAGGAAAAACAAAGAGGTTAGGTAAATTATCTTTGCATAATCATGAGTTAATTACTCAAGCTGATATCCTTTCCCCGAGGGACTGTTTTCTCCATAAAAGCTCAGTCTAACCACAGGGGAATTTTTTTTTTTACTCTATCCATCTGTCCCAATGGAACAGCTTCAAGTTTTCCAGCTTTTCATTTTCATCTTTCAATTTCCTTTAAAATAGAGAGAAACACGGGATCTCCAACGAGTTCTAAGATGTCCGTTACTCACAGAATGCAAAGCTTTTCTACAGTTTACCCATTCCCTAGTGACACGGCATGTACTGCCGCAGAGCACAGCAATGCTCCACCAAAGGCAGAGGTACCGAGAGGCTGCACTTAAACAGTGAGACCTACAACGTACTTATTGTTTCCTGAGAAGAACTGGTAAGCCACACACAGTCAACACTTTTTAAAATGAGAAAGATGGCTAGATATTTAGAGTATAAATATGCTACTAAGAAAATAAATGTAAATCTGATGACAAATGCTTAATGCTTTCCTCCACATAGATTCCACACTGTGGAAAAGAGAACAACGTAGAAGAAAGAAATGTAAGTTAGAATATGCAATAGAAAGTAATATAAGAATCAGAAATTCTCTGTTAGTTCTTGACTGAACACACAAGCACAATGTTATTTATCCCTTCAAGGTAAAGTCTTTATAAATGGCCTTACTTTCCATGTGCTAAATCATATTCAGAGAGTGAGGGTGACTACATGTCAAGTCAAGATTAATTTAGGTCTTGGCTTCCTTAGTCGTTTTGTGAGGATCAACTGTTTTCTTATATATTTCAGCCTGGCACATGGTGGACTCTATAAATGCTAGCAGCTGCTGCTACTATTTCCATCAATATTACTGTACCACCGAACATTTAAAGCACACAATAAAACAGCAGACCAAGGGGTGCTTTTGGCTTTTATATTCTATGGTTATTTACTCCAACCTCCTCAGGAGAATGAGTTCTGCCAGACTTCAATGACACGTGGTGAACAAAGACAATGGAAAGATAGATAAGGAAAAATTAGAATAGGCAAGCCAAACAAAAGATCTAAAAAAATTAAAGCATCTGACCAAACAAAACCACACACACACACACACACACACATACCAAAAACAAAAATGAAAAAACCCAGTGAGAAAATAGCAACCCACATTAGGGGTAGATGCTCTGACTCTGTCTTTTCCCACGAATAGGTCTGGATAACAGGTCTTCTCTCAGCCAGGAAGAGATTATGAGCCCAAGAGAGATTATAAGAGGGGGAAGGTTTCTAAACTTTGCAACACCCCGATTTGCGAGTGTGGGGTGTATGAAGTATTTTGGGTTCCTTCCTGAGTATTAATGTTAACTTCTATTTTGAGACCAGAGAATATGGCACAGAATTGAAGCAGGAAGCTGGAGACTTAGCACTTGAGAGGGCACACCATAGTTATATTAAGGAATGATACTATCCTTACCTGTCTTTTGTGCCGTGTGGAACTGAGGAGGATAATCAACTGAAAGCATATCATTGATTTTTCATCAACTAAAGTCTACAATTCTCTTCAAATATATTCCAGATTTTTTCTTTGATACGTTCTTTTATCACATTCAACAAAGGAGTATGAAAAATTACTTGACGTTGGTATGATGGCTTCAACTGGCTAATCTTCCTTATTCAACTGCCAGCACACCATATGGATGCTGACTCTTGTCCCAGCTACTCCACTTCCAATCCAGATCCCTGCTGCTGATCTGGGAAAGCAGTGGAGGATGGCCCAGAGCCTTAGGACCCTGCACCTGTGTGGCAGACCTGGACAAGCTGTTATGACAATCTGGGAGTGAACCAACTCATGGGAGATCTTTCTTTCTGTCTCTCCTTCTCTCTGTATATCTGCCCGTCCAATAACATTTTTACTTTAAAGAGTAACTGATAATGTGAGAAAATGAGTTCAGAAAGGACAACACCTAATACATAGTTCTAAAACAGTCACAAATTAGCCTCATATGTAAAACATAGCTATAATACTCAAAGTTTTGATGATGGTGGTCTTATAAATTTAAATTACTGTCATATAAGTTTTAACTAACAGTTTTTAAACAAAAAATATGAGCTAAGTTCTAATTTTAGATCATCTGCAAGAAAAATACCTTACAGAATGATAAACTGAGAGAGGTACAACTTACTGTTGAATAACTGCTTTGGTTTTTGGAACTACGTCTACCAGGAATTTAAAGTTTTCTATAAGATATAGATCTACAGAAACAGTATGATTTTAAGTAAAAAGCAGAACAATCTGAGTTTTGTTATTTTTGATAAGTAAAAGTTACATTTAAAGCAAAATAAAAAAGGATTTATACTAAATTTCAACAAATGAAAACACATTTTCATGTCTGGCTATATCCAAGTACTCACAGATAAGGAGTCTATGCATTAAAAATTGTAGTTTTGCCAATGTCAGGACTAAAACACCTGAAAATCATTAAGTGCAGCATTGAAGGTTATCAGTAGGCTAACTGCCCCTTCCCCCTAATATAAACATATTGAATTATCTTCATCACAAGCCCAAAGAGTCCTTTGTTGTTGCAAATAAATAAATAAAGCTGACTGGATGTTAGCTGATAAAAAGGCTTAAAATATTTTTCAGAGTTTAAAATATTCAAACCTCAAATGCAGTATATAAAACCAAAAAAGCAGCTGAACTTTCAATTTCAGTCATTTTTATAAGCCAAGATTTCTAAAGTCACCAAAAGACCCTCCTCCATCGTACTTCAGTTACAACCTGAGCAGTGTTTAAGCACAGAAAGACTTGCTCCAACATTTCCAAACCTAGAAATGGCATTCCCTTCCAGAGGGAGCACAGCAATACAGTGTCAGGGTCATGGGAACGTAGGAGACACACTAGAGGTCAACAGAAGCTCGCCCTGTAAAGGCTACAAGGACATGACGAGGAAAAAAATCCATGGTAAAAGAAAAATGATCTGGACACTACGAGGGTGGGGGTGGAGGGAGAAAGATTAAGGCTAGCATTGTTTCCTTTTTGCTCCTGAAACATGAAAGAGGCGCATAAAGGCCTAAGCATGCTTTGAAGACCTTGTATACTTCATTATGAAAGCCAAAATGTTAAGCATCTGCTAAGAAAGACACCTAGTTGTGATCCTACTTACATGCAAAATTGTTTTATATTTTATGTCCAAAGGAATCCAACCATATTTTTTTCTTTCTCAGAGAAGACAGACCAGCATTCATTTCTAAGGCCCTGAATGCAACTAAGTTACATCCTATGCTCTTCTGCCCATGAATGAAGTGATCTCTTTCTCCCCCAGAAAAGCGGGAAGAGGAGATAGAGGGGAGAGCAGGCGACAGGAAGGGACAGAGGGCAGTGCAAGTATGCACAACGTGGGACACGTATTTCTTTAATTTTCAACTTGTTACTTTTAAAATGCTCAAAACCAATAGTACAATACCAAAAGTACATAGGTATTGTACCTACATTTAATAATCCTTAATCATTAACCTACATTTAATAATCATTAACATTTTGTCACATTTGTTTCATTCCTCCATTTTTTTTGGTGAAAATATGTGAACATTAGACAATTTAGCATGAAATCCCTCAGTACATTAATTCCAAAGAGTAAGAACATTTTTCTACAGTCACAATGCTATTAGCACATCTAAGAAATTAACATACAATCAGTTCTAAATTTTCTTAATTACATTAATTCCCCTGTGGCTGTTTTCCCCTCTCAATCCAAGAACCAAATGAGGATCACAGAGTGCATTTAATTGTGAAGGCTCCTTGCATCTGTAACGATCCTTTGCCTACTGTTTCCTTTTGACATTGATTTTTTTTTTTTAAAGAATCTACACTGTTTTGCAGAAGTTGTGAGGGTTGTTTGCTCATGATTAGTTTCAAGCTAAATACATTTGGCAAGAGTACCACAGAACACATCCTATATTTCCCTTGATATTATATGATGTTAGTTTTCAATCAGATGTTTTCAAAGGATAGAAACATTCTTCAATTAGAGCTCTGTCTTAAATAATTTTGATAGCAGTATCAATATCCAGGGTTTTTTTTTTTGTCAAATATTTTCAGCAAACCAGGCTGCTAAGATAATTGTGTGCTTTCTTTAGGTGTTATTGACATGATCTTCCTGTCAATTACAACGTTGCAATCACCTTGAATCTCATGGTATAACTGCTATACAAGCAGTAACTGCTATACATACATACATATACATATGTATGAGCACACACACACACTAATTCACAATTCAATTCTAACTATACTTGGGCTGAATATCTTTAATCTGAAAATCAGAAATTTACAACAATCCAAAATTTTTTCGTCAGATTAGGGATGCTAAATTTGTAAGCTCTATGCAACTGTGACACACACACACACACACGTACACACACACGTACACACACACACACACACACACACACACACACACACACACCCCTGACATCTGAAACTATTCTGGTCTAAACATTTCACTTAAAAGATATTCACTCTGTATCAAGGAAAACTGAGTAAGGTAATATTCTCATTCCAAATTCTATTTTAGAATTCTTGGCTTTAAACGGGATTTAACATACCTTAAAGGGGAATTTGAAATTTACTCTTTCTTGAATGAAATCAAATCAGTACGACAATGAGCAAACTGGAGTGATCTTTCTTAATAGTATGAATTAAAATCTCTCAAATTTTATTTTGTGGTTAAAAAAAGTTAATTTCATGCTTATTTCATAGCTCAGTAACATATATGCTTAATATGCTAAACAGTAAGTACTTTTAAAACCAGTAGAGACACAATGAATTTTAAGACACTTAAAAAGAAGCTAGCAGTAAAGTAATACCTGAGTGAAAATATTATGTGTTTGGCTTAAAATCCACCTGGCATCAGCATCAGGAGCTACTACTAATTTCAAGGTCCCAACGTAGACATCAGAACATAAAGTCCAGAAGTGCTGCTCCTGTAAACTGTAAACTCCTTGTAACTGCTGCACCTGAAATACAAAGGAAGATAGAACATCATGCTTGCAGTGTCCCTTCCACTGAAATTACTATATAGCAGATCAGTAAGCCTGGATTCCACCGATTGCATTTTCTTAAGATTTATTTTTATTGGAAAGTCAGATACATAGAGAGGAGAAAAGACAGAGAGGAAGATCTTCCATATTCTACTCTGCCTTTGAAGTAAATAAATAAATCTTTAAAAAGAGAAAGGGAGAGAGAAAGAGGTGAAAATTAAAGCAAGTTTAACAAATCCAGGGTTTCCCTATTCAACAGTGCAGAGTTTAGTGTATTTCCATGCGTTATCTGGGAAGGCCCCATGGGACAAAACTGTTCTAAAATATCCTATTTCAAAAGCAAAAACTTTAATGAACTCAAATCCAAATTCAAGCTTTCAACTTATTTCTCTGATTCTTTTAATAACAGTATTGAAAACAGATACTTGTAGCAATTGTTTCTACTTCTCCAATTTATTTTCCTTTTATCTACTCAAACCACGCTTTCTTCTCTACATGTCTCTGAAACAGTAGTGATGTTCATGACGCCAGTTAACAATCATTCTTACCGTAATTGATCTCTCCAGAATTAGCTGGCACAGTTGATTACTTGTTCCAACTTCAACATTGTGATACTCAACACTTCGGTTTCTAGCTCCTTTACTAACCACTTGCCTTCCTGGCTTTTCCACCTGCATGCTAAGTCTAAAGATGAAGGCAGAGCCGATAGAATAAAACTATAACCTCTGCCAAGATAAATATTTAGAATCTTCATGCTTTAGAGGTTATTAATATATCCTTGAAATTCTAAATCTGCATATTCAAGTATTTAACAAGAGGTATAATAGGCACTTTAATTTTAACATACTAAAATAAACTCAGTGTGTGTGTATGGAGAGGGTAGAATTTCCAACTTCAGACCTCTACCAGCCCAGCTTGAAACTCAGAAGTACCAGCACCATCTGTCAAGTTGAGTCAATACGTTTCCTTTGTGTTAATATAATTCACCTGCACAAACATCCCAAATATATATTTATCTCCACTTTCAGTGCAACAATAATCTAAACCATTAAAAAAAAAAAAAAAAGAAAGCAGATTCACAGGAAAAAGAGAGAGAGATCTTCTACCTGCTGTTTCACTCCCCAAATGGTCACAATGTCTGGAATGAGCCAATCTAAAGCCAGGAACTTCCTCCAGGCCTCCCATGTGGGTGCAAGTGCTAAAGGGCCTGAATATACTCTACTATTCTTCCAGGTCATAAGCAGAGAGCTGAATAGGAAGTGGAGCAGCCAGGACCAGAACCAGAACCCATACAGGATACTGGTACTGCAGGAGGAGGATTAGCCTATTAAGCTACCACACTGGCCCTAAGCCACTGCTTTTTTTCCCCTAGAGTTGCTTTTTATATAACAGCCAGGACAATCATATAAAATATGAGATTCATGATACTTCCAATGTCTAAACATGTTCCAATGTTTGCCAGTGACTGAGAGAGTCAAATTTGAGCCTCTCAGGATGAAAATCTCTATAGATCTGGTTAATGCCATTCTTTGCAACATTTCAAGTAACTCTTCCATTTATTTATTATTTATTATGCTTTAGCCATAATGGCCTTTCTTCCTGTTCTTCAAATCCATTAAAATAGTTCCAACCATAACACTGTTGTAATAAAATTTCTATCACCTGGATTTTCATATGGGTAAATCTTATCATCCAGGTTTTGGTTTCCTTGAAAATAACTTCTTCAGTGAATCTAATGTAAATTAGATAACAACATGGCGATTTCATCACATTATTTTATTTCTATAATAGCAATTGTCACTGATGTGTTCTTTGTTGATTTAAGGTTTAGTGTCTTTTTTGTTGTTGTCGTTATTCTTATTTGAAATGAAGATTCACAAACAGAAGGAGAGACAGAAAGAGAGAGACCGAGAGAGATACCTTGGTCCTGTTGGTTCACTCTCCAAGTGGCCATAAGGTTTGTGGCTGAGCCCATCTGAAGCCAGCAACTAGGGGCTGCATCTAGGTCTCCTACTTGGGTAAAGGGTTCCAAAGACTCAGACTATCCCCTACTGCTCTCTCAGGTCATCAGCTGAGAGCTGGATTGGAAGTGGAGCAGCCGGGAAAGGAACCGGGATGACTGGTATGACTGTTTGCCCTAGGCTACCCCATAGTGTCTGTGTTTTCCACTAGATGATACGCTAAGTGAGAACTTGCTTACCATTGTGTCCTAAGTATACGGTACAAAATGAGAAATAAAAAAGCATACTGGGGAATAACATTTAGCTAGAGTTTAAGAACTGATTGGTTGGGATGTTCCTATCACTGGAATGTCTAGGTGTGACATCCATGTTTAGCTCTTGATTCTGGCTTCACTAACGCAGACATAGAGGCAACAACAATGGCTCCAGTGGTGAGGCTCCTGTTGTTTATGTAGGAGAGAAGCAGACTCAGTTCCCGGCACTCGCCTCTCCTTGCTCTAGGTTTGGCTGTTGTGAGCATTTAAGAAGCGAACCTAAAAATGGGGGCTCTCTTTCTCTTGGTTTCTCAAATAAATAAAATATTTAAAAAGTGTATGCTGAATAAATGTCATCTGGTGTTCATTCTGTACTTTAAAAGAATTGCTCAATTTTTTAATGAGGAAAACATTTTTTCAGGTGATTTTATTCTAGTTTGGATAAATGGCAATCTTCATCACAGGTTAGGCATATAGTGCACCCAAATTTACGAAAACTGAAAACCTTTAACTGTTTGGAAACAACATAAAACTCAAAGGTTTGGAAGCTTTAAAACTCACCCTCTGATAGCACTGGGGTAAAGCATTTTCCAACAAGGGAGGAGTTCTCTGCATTAATATTCCAACAGATTCTTTTAAGAGAGGAATAACACTAAAGGAAGAAAACAAATTTGTTTATTAAAGTGACAATTCCATCTTTCACGAAAGCAAAATTATATCTGCTTACTATAGAACATAAGATTTACCAGAATAACAACAAGAAAAAACCAAATCACAGTCATTGTTCCAAACTCTTCATATAATCACCAAACTAGTAAAAACTGTGGAAAAAAAGTATCAATACACAGATAATTAAGCTTACCCAACTGAATATTGGGTCATCTAAAATCTAAATGTAGCAAATATTCAGTTTCTATTTACACTAAGTCTCCATGTAGTCACAATCTTCCAAGACAGATAATCCATCAGACCAACTAGAAATTAAATATTATTGGATACCTTCATAGCAAAGTTAAGAGAAACGAAAACATTAATATTGGTTTGTCAGTTTGTTATTGTTCAAATTTGGTAATTCAACAGTTTGCATGTCACTATTTGTAAACTCAGTGCCTTTAAGGATGGCACCCCAAACCTCTGAGACATAGTTAGTCTTCAGCCAGTTATTTAGATGATTAAATCTATACAAACCAATTAATAATATAAAATGAAAGTGACTAGTGTAATAATTTACTAATCCAACTGGACATCAAATACACCTTAGAGTCTTCTTTCATTTCAGTTTCTGACATACTAAATAGGAATCATTTGAAAGGATGGTCTAGAAATCTACTTTTTTTTTTTTTTTAAGATGTATTTACTTGTATTTGAAAGGTGATTTACACAGAGAGAAAAGAGACAAAGTAAGATCTTCCATCCACTGGCTCAGGAGCCAAATGGCTGAAACAACCCAAGCTGACTTGGTCTGAAGCCAGGATCCTCGAGCTTCTCCCAGGTTTCCCATATCGGTGCAGGGCCCAAGGACTTGAGTCAGCTTTTGCTGATTTCCCAGCCACATCAGTATAAAGGTGCAACAGAAATGGACAGCCAGGACTTGAACCAGCACCCGTAAGGGATGCTGGCACTGTTGGCAGAGACTTAACCTGAATTTTAATCCCCACTTTATGTATTTCATAAGCTCTCCACCTTCAATATCATTGATGGAAATATAAATAGTATGGCCATGTGGAAAAACAGAACAGAGGTTCTTCATAAAACAAAATATGGAACTACCACAAGACTCAGCAATCCCATTACTGTATAGATATTCAAAGGTAACTGAAATCAGTTGTCAAATAGAAATTTGAACTTGTATGTTTATTTCAATACTACAATGACCAAGAAATGGAAACAACTTCTGTGTCTATTAACTGAAGAATGGATGAAGAAGGTGTGGTACAGAAGCATAATTCTATTCAGCTACTGTAAATAACAAAATATATTCATACGTAACAGCATAGATAGAACCAAGGGCTATGTAAAATAAACCGACACAGAAAAGAAAGTATTGTATGGTCACACCCATATGTGCAAACTTTTTAAGTTGGCCTCACAGTGGGTCAGATACAACGGTGATCACCAGAGGCTGCAGAGCAGCTGGGAAGGAGGGCTATGAAAAGTAGGAGTGAGTGCTGCTGTAATGTGACTATCAGTAATCACAAGCACTGGGTGTTTTTCTTTAAAACAAAAAGCTAGGAGAAGTTTTCAATGTCTTGTCATAAAGAAAAGATTGATATTGGTATAACGTATGTTACACAATGTATACACATACACCAAAATATCATGTTACCCCATAAAGATGAACTGATTTTATATTTTAGATGATTACTTAATCTCTAGAAAAAAAGCTTAGGAATCACTCCAGGTGCTCCCGACACGTCAGGGTGCTGACTTTGTTCTCTCAGTTTCCTGAGAGGTCAGATGTAGACAGTGCCCGTGTTTAAGCTTAGAGGATCTCAAAGTTTCCAAAGCAAAACTTGGCCAGATAGTGACACAGGTGATAGAAATAAAAGGAACATATACCATTCCTGGAAGTTCTCCCAGGAAGAGAAGCTGAAGTTGAAGTGTACACTGAGATCAGTTGTGTTTTTGACAGACAGAAAAGAACAAGAAGATTCAGATGAAGACCACAGGCAAGAGACAAGCTTGTTTTGTTCACTACTGTATTCCTAACGAGGTCTCAGAAAGTGCTAATCTCAAGGCAGAACAATGACAATTTTTGGGTGAATTACTGATATGCATGCAGACACTAGGTACTGTGAATCTGAACTAAAGAAAATTAAAGAAAGAAATTAAGAAATTGTCCCCATACTTTAAGAGTACAAGGATAAGTACCTGGATAATGAGGACAAACATATAGGAAAGGTAAACACAGAGAAATAACTGAAACCCACAAGGAGATCCATGGTAAGGCGATTCTGGATTATTCAAAGTTGAGCAGGGTATAGCTGCAGTAAAGATAAAACAACTAAATGTGGAGGGCCAGCATGATGGCTCAACTGGCTAATCCTCTGACTACAGAATGCAGTGCTGACACTGATATGGGAGCTGGTTCCTGTCCTGGCTACTCCATTTCCCTCCCAGCTCCTGCTTGTGGCCTATGAAGGCAGTGGAGCATGGCCCATGGCCTTGGAACTCAGTACCTATGTGTGAGACCAGGAAGAAGCTCCTGGCTAGTGGTTTCAGGATGGCTCACCTCCAGTTAGTGTGGCTATTTGAATGCAAGATCTTTCTGTCTCTCCTTCTTTCTGTAAATCTGCCACTCCAATTAAAAAAAGAAATCTTAAAAAAAAAACTAAAACTAAATGTGAAGAGGAGTTTCAGCAATATTCAAGAATAACATGCTTTAGTCAGTGACTTAAGAACCAAGAATTATTAGATATCATTCTTACCTGTTTCTTCTCCCTTATAACTCTCATTCTATAAATCAAATTCTCAGGGTTTTTCATCCTAAGTATTTTTTCTTTCTACCTCATCATTTTCCCTTCATTCTACCAAGCAAGTCTATAATAATTTCCATTATCTTTCACTTGAATTTTTATAACAGGCCGGCCCTAAGTTGTTCCTTAGCCTTCAGTTCCTAAAGTTTACCTGACAGGTAGCCTCAAATGGCTTCTAATGGCTCTTACCCCCAATATTCGCATCCTTGTGTAGTCACAAGTGGATATATGTACAGAGAGGCAGGACTTAGTGATCTGCTGCTAATAAATACACTATGGAAAAAGTTATGCCACTTCCAATATGGTTTAAAAGACCCTGCTTACCTCTCATTTGCTCCCTCACAGTTGCCATATAACAAACAGTGTGACAGAGCTGAATGCAGGAATTAATCAAAGGGGAAGTAGACCTTCAGTCCCACTACTAAAAGGAACGTAAACTGGGCTTGGAATCATGCCTCAACTGGCTACCTCTCAGCCTGAAGGTATCAGCAAACCATATGGGTGCTAGTCATGTCCTAATTCTTCCACTTCCAGGATGTGGGACAGCAATGGAGGCTGGCCCAAAGCCTTGAGACCCTGTATCCATGTGGGACACCAGGAAGAAGCTCCTGGATTCTGGTTTTTGACCAGTTCACAAGCCGGGAGCTGGATGGAAAGAGGGGCCGCCGGGATTAGAACTGGCGCCCATATGGGATCCCAGGCATGCAAGGCGAGGACCTTAACCACTACGCCACTGCGCCACCACGCCGGGCCCGAGTATAAGCCCTTTTACATGGTGTATGTTGAGCTCTGCCTTCTATCAACCCTTGCTTCAAATGCAGAGAGTATCTTTGTACCAATTGTACTTATATAAAGAGACGAAAATTTGTAGGTTTACAAAAAAAAAAAAAACAAACAAACAAACACAGTACAATTCCTTTCCTCTTTAGAAATCACTCATTTGACACTCAGTTCAAGAACCACATGCAGACAAAGCTCTCAACATTGTATTACACTTTAAATAGTAATATTTTTTAAAAAATCAGAAGTAGGTAATACACACCACATCTTGGTGATGGTTGGGTGGCTCATACTACAGATTACAGTCTTGTATTAAGTAACTGAATGAAATGTCTAACAGTCCCTCTGTCAAATGAACCGAGACCTCAATTACTTTGAACTTTAGGAAACGGTCTAATTTTTTTAAAACAATCTTCAGTACTGTTGGGTCTGGAATTTATCCCACTGCCTTGAACAGAGGAGTTCCACATGAGATAATGCAAAAGCAAAGGAACTTTATTGCTAGTGTGCTAGGGTCCAAGTCCCATCCAGCGCAGTGGAGTCTTGACAAGGACCCCAACCATACAATTCACATAGTCCATATAGGGTTTTGGCTGCAATTCTAGGAATGGACCATTGATTCTACAAACATGCATTGGCTAGATTGTAATCCATCAGTTTCTATCACCCATGACCACTCTCATGGTCGGTCTCACTTATCTGTGCCCACCCCAGTGGTCAGCCTCTAGCATCACGACCACCTGATAACTAGGGGCCTTTCAAGTTGCCTCTGATTGGTCAGTTCAGTCTAGGGTGTGTGGTGGTTCACTTCGGGGAAGTGAGTGCCTCAATTCTAGGGACTGAAACTTAGACCTACCCTCTCTGAGGCCTGCCCAAGGCCTGTCATGGCTTTACTTTGGTTCCCCTTGTAGGAAGCAAAGCTCTCATTACAGAAGCCAAGCTTGGTCTTATTTTCTTTATTGCTAGACATTAATTTATTATTGAACCATTTCCTAATACTACTCCTTGACTTAATTTCGTATTACTATCATTCTAGTACTATTTACCTACTGCTTAACACACTATTCTATTGATTCCTCCATCACTCAGTACACTTTAATACTACTTAACCTCTTTAGTTCCACAGTCTCACAGTACACGTTATGCTCACACTTCTCACTATTACTAAAAAAGTCAAACTAAAACAGAAAAAAAAAAAAGACTTTCTAGTGAAATGAATATTAGATGTAAACATCTATTTAAAAATAATAACAGATCAGTGTTGTGGCATGGTGGATTAAGAAACCACCTGTGACACAGCAAAGATGGCCCAAGCACTTGGGATCCCGACACTCACGCTGAGACCTGCATGAAGAACCTGGTTGCTCATTTCATCTGTCTCGCAAATGTGACCATT